CTTGTCCCACAAGGTTTGGTCCTCCTTTAGGTAGGCTCTTATTCCCGAAATTATGGATCGATTGACTCGCTCGCTCGCATTCGCTTATATATATAGTGCGGTATAAACGTGTTTGATTCCGCGTTCAGCCAGTAAGTTATTAAATTGTGAGGATTTAAATTGTCTTCCATTCTCACTCAAGACAATCTCTGGAGTACCAAAAACGCTCAGGACTTGGTCGTTTAAAAAATCACATATAGCCGGTGTATTAAAATTTCTAAGAGCTTTGAGCATAGGAGACTTTGTAAAATGGTCTAAGATTATTAAAATTCCTGTATTTCCTTGCTTAGACCTAGGGTAAGGACTTAGCAAATCAATGTAAAGTTTTTGAAATGGTCGCTGAACGGCGCTTTGCTACGCCGGCAAGTATCGCGTTGGCCTACAAACTCTTTAACATCGACTGTCATGCTTGGCCAGTAAAAGTTCATTCTCAACCGCTCTAGTGTCTTCGCTATCCCACCATGACATTTAGTGGGCTGGGTGTGAGCGTTTTCAATAACTTGTTGTACAAGATTTCTAGGGATCCATAGCTTCCAGTTATATGTTTCCCGCTCAGGGTCTCCCTTTGGATGCTCAGTTCTCGGTTATCTAGGACTTGTAAATCAGGTAGGCGACTCTCATTGCTCCGGACGTGGTCTAATAACTTCATATACTCATCGGACTGAAACTCGGACGATTCTATAACTACTAGCGGATGGACTTCTAACACTTCGGCTTCATCAAAATTTTGGCGTGATCAACTATCAGGCACTATGTTTAGGGAACATTTTCTATGCTCTATTTTAAAGCGATATCCTAGCAACTTTAGCGACCATCGGGCTAGTCTGGTGGACAGATCGGTCTGACGCATAACCCATTGTAGACTGCCATGGCCCGTCTCAATGGTGAAATCTTGGCCTTCAACATAAGCCGGAAATTTCTTTAGGCTAAGAATAACGGCAAGGCACTCCAGCTCCGTAACGCTGTAGTTACTTTGGGCCTTGTTGAGTTTTTGTGAGAAGTATGCTATTGGAACTTCTACCCCATCCTCATTTTGCTGGGCTAAAACCGCACCAACACCAAGTTTTGACGCATCGCATTGAATTATGAAGGGGTTTTCGTAATTCGGACTCGCTAAGACCGGGGCTGAACATAGCATTTC